GGACTTAGGAAGATTTCATTTTATCATGGAGGTGTAGATAAATCATTTTGGGCAGGACACTATGGAAGTAAAATGGCAGGTGCTTGTGTTTACGTGAAAATTCCCACTGTACAGTATTGTAATAACGAGGAAAGTAATATGATATTAGATATAGATTAATATATTTTTAAGTTAAAATCAATTGCTTTTATTTTAATATTAAATTCCTTAATATTCTTTGAAAATATGAATAATATGCATAATATATGATGTGAAAAACATTAATAAATTTCAAAATATGCCTATACACTTAACATTAAAAATTATATTTATAAGTATAAACATTGTACATTGTAATGAAATTATAAACTATATTAAATACTTGTTAAACTGTAAATAAAAGCTACAATGTAGTGTAAATTATAAGCATGAGCAAGGCATAATGCTTACATAATAAGTAATATTTTGTATGAATTTATATATCTGAAATATAAATGAGAATCGTGTTTTATAAATGTTGCATAGTTACAAAAGTAAGAATATTTGATGTACATTTTTAAACAGGCTTTAAAAAATGTGATTAACCAATGTGAAAGACCCATTAAATTAAGTAAAATTGCATCTTATAAATAATAAAATAAAAGAAGTGACTACATAGATAGTTCAAATTTTCATTTCAAATTTCATGTTAACGAATGCAACGAATGTAACTTGAATGCCACTTCAATTAAATTTTGTGGCGCAGAATCTTGATAACATATGTATAACTCCTTTGGATGGGGAGTCGTATATAGTCGTCCAACAACCCAATATGTAACATTTTCCCATTCAAATAGCACACCATGTTCTTTAACAGCAATTAAACTCTTATTAATTACAGTTTTGTCCATATCTGAGTTCAACATTTTTTTAAATCTCACAGTATTATGCAACAGTTTATGTATGATGTGAATACACTTGTTAAAATTAACCAGAATCTTATGATCCTTTGCTGAATTTTCTAGTGGCTTTGAAGATAAAAGAATTCCTTCAACCATATCTAATTGCACATAGTGATATAAATAATTTTTATTGCCTGTTGTCAATATTTTTGGTGTCAAATATTCAGCTTGATTTAATAGATTTTCTCGTATGTTAGATATATCCATGCTTAACATCCTACAGTTGCTCTGTAATAATGCACAAAGCACGAAATGTATACTGAAATAAACATTTTATCAAATAAACGGAAATATCCTGTTCCTATTTACCTTGTACATATCGATATCAGAGTCACTGTCATCTGAATATCTTGATCCACTAGCAATCTTTTCTCTTGTTGCGCGTCTTCCTAATATAGGCATTGTTTCGTCACTTATTTCACTAATTCCACCTGTTCCTTGACTTAACGAATCTTCTGATGTATGTAAAGAATATACTGAAACAATTGTACCGTATTATTACTCGTAACAGAATAAAATATAAATTAATAATCCTATTTACCAGATCCTAAGACCATAGGACTCTCTTCTGTATTACGCTTCTTTAAAATAGAAGGTATTTCTTGAGATCTTCTGTTGGTAATTGTAGTATGAGATGATTTGGTAGAAGGACTTTGTATATCGTTTGATTTTATAAGACCCAGGAAGTTTTCTGTGATGCTGGATGGTGGTTTTACGGATACATAATCTTCGTAAGGTATTACTTCTGGTCTTGTATTGGATGCAATCCATTTAGCTGCCAAAGTTGTTACTCCTATTTTTTGTATATGCTTTAGAGTTTCTTGAGCTTCTTCCACGTAAAATATATCTGGCCCGGTAGTTTCGCTACATCTATAACGATAAAGTAGTAATGAATTTAAAAGTATAATTAACAGAGAAAAGTGTATGATAGAAAAAATGAAGTTATTACTTTGTAGTACATCCACCAGATTCTAAGAGAACAGCTAATAAATCATATCCATATCCAACAACAAGTAAGAACCACTTTCCATTGGGAACCAACGGCTGAGTGCTTCTATTTTCTACATTTGTACATTTATACAAAGAAGGATAGACTTTCTTCCAAATAACAAGGCTTTTTACGGGTTCATTAACTATCAAATTAAAAAGACAATTTTGTCGGAGATAAGAGTTTACTTCAATCAGATCGTCGTGAGTCAAGTGAGATCCAAGAAGATAATGTTTGTGATAGATACAGCTACCTAGAATTGTATACAGCCTCTGACAGTCCATAGGATCTTCATTCTAAGAAAGTAAAATTACTTTACACTATTTAGGTTCTTTCTTTAATTTATTATACAATACATACCCAATCTCTGTAATCCATTGCTTCCATTTCACTTAAAGCAGCATCAATTTGAATTTGTGCATCTCTTGATAACTCTATGAAATTTGCAACTGAAAAAGTGCTCCTGAATTTGTAATTTTCCATACTTTCAATATCATTATGAATTTCCATACAATGATTAGTTAATCCTACGTTGTTTGTGTAACCTTTTATATCTAGTAATTGTTGAATAATTAAAATGAAAAAATGATCCAAGGCAGCATGATTTTCTTGAGGTGTAAAACATTTTGTTAATGACTCATATGTAAACTCTAGAGTTCTAACTATATCAGCTGATAAGTTAACTGCTTCTTCAAGACTACAACTGAAAATATTGAAAGTAACGTATTATAAATAAAAATCATCTATTGTTATTATATTACACTCACCATTTTTTTGGTAATGCTATTAAGAGTAACTCTTCATCGCGAGACGTATACACAATATGAATTTCCTCTTCTGCTACCTGTATAGTAGTACTACAAAAGTTGTACTATAAAATGCGATTGAGCATATATTACAAAATTATATCAACAAATGATACAAATATTCAATAATACCTAGTAGGTTGTAAACCTGCTATCCCTGGTAGTAAATGATTAAGAGTTATAAAAGCTCCTCTTGCTGTGCACAGAATAGAATGGGTATTTTTATTTTCTGATCGAGGAAGCGTATAAAGAACGCCTTGTAATTCTGATCCCATTTCTGAAAGCTCTGTGATTCTGAGATATAGTACACCAAGTGGATAATTTAATATTGACTGCATTAGATCTTTACTTTCTTCCTTATTCATTAATCTCTGGACTAGCACAGATTGCTAATGATGAAAATAATCAATTATTTTCACCTATAAAATTCTGTAATAATACATAAATTATATAAAGTTCTAGTTACCTTAGGACAATTTAATCCAGGTAATTTTGCTGTAACATCAATACCTGCAACTCTTTGTAATTCTAATGTTACCTGAATAAAAAATGAAAATAAATGAAAATAGAGTATTTTATAATTTCACAACACTATAATTTTATTTCTTACATTTGTTGAAACAGTTATCTCAGACAATATGTGATCTAAATTTTGATATGTAACTTCATTTGAGTTTATACTTCGCAGCCAATCTCCAATTTTAATGTTTTTATTTTTCATTGCTTCACCATCTGGAATAAATCCAGCAACCATAACTCGTGTTTTATCTGAAAACATTCCTGCAGTGATTCCAAAATATGCTTCACATAATGTAGCTCTTCTCCCCAATTTATGTCTTCTATCTGGGTCAACCCATAATGTAACTTCTCGAATCTCACCAGCCTAAAATGTTTGCATATTTTTAAGTGATATGTGTTTTATTGCCAGAAGCACTTACACAATAACTATAAAGCATTTACTTGAAAATCCCTGAATGTTACTTCTTTAATTGTATTCCCTTCTTTTCCTGCATTTACTATATTGTTTGATACAATATTAGGATTACTTTTTCTATTTCTTGTGCTCCAACGCTTACTCTCCTTGCGTCTAATGAGTCTCATTAGTTTTCCAGCTCTTGTACTACGACGTCTTGTTAGCTCTGGTTGAGAACTATGTTGTGTTTCGTTAAATGAACATTGATCGTCAGTTATGCTTTCTGTTACAGATTCTATGTAAAATAATTCTCCTGTAGGACTGATTTCTGATTCCCATTCCGCTGTAGAGCTATGACAATGTAAAATATTGAAAATTATGCAATAAAATCATATATATATATGAAAAATATTCAACTAAAAAGTTTAAAAACTTCAAGTACCTATCCGTATCTGAATAATATGATCCAGTACTTGAACCACTGTCACTTGCCCACCAGTCATGTTCATTATCATCTTTCATATTATCTACAGAACAAATTTGATCATTATATTTACATTGTAATTTTAGCAATACGTTTTTAGAGCTTGCTTCATCCATGTTGTTATGAAAACTTGTATTATACTTTATTAAAATATTCGAAAAACTTATTTCAGATTTTTACAGTCAATTTATTTCAAATTGTTACTCAAACATTTACTTTGTTTCAATTTTCCATGAAAAGGTTGGGTCAAGAAAATGCTACCTGAAGACTTGAATGCATGAGTAGAAAGGGTGGGGGCTTGAAATACCTTTCACCTTGATATAGTATACATACAGGGTGTCCCAAAACTCGGGGAGGAGCTGAAAATAGGGGGTAGCTGAGACGATTCTGAACAACAATTTCCTTTGCAAAAATGTCGGATGGGGCTTCGTTAAGGAGATATTAAGCGAAAACCCCGACCAATCAGAGCGCGCGTAGACCGTTCGAGCGGCCGCGGTAGCGTAGGCTACGCACTGGTGGCCGCGCTTGCACGCGAACAAGTGACTCGACGTGCATCGAAGCATCGAACTAGCGCGTAGCCTTCGCTACCGCGGCCGCTCCAACGGTCTACGCGCGCTCTGATTGGTCGGGATTTTCGCTTAATATCTCCTTAACGAAGCCCCATCCGACATTTTCGCAAAGGAAATTGTTGTTCAGAATCGTCTCAGCTACCCCCCATTTCCGGCTCCTTCCCGAGTTTTGGGACACCCTGTATAAGTCTGTGTAGGTCATACATTTAAAATACAGGTGCTGGATTCAGTAAAAAATTATATTTTTATTGAAAATAAAATACGTTTATTTGTATACAATATTCTTACGATGATACAGAAAAAATTAATTTAACCTTAAATATTCTCTAGTTCATTTCGTTTATGGATACAATTATTCTTATAAAAATATAGTATTCGAACTAAATAAGCGAGTCCCTACGAAAGTAACTTGATACTACCAGGTAACAAGTATTTAAAATGTATTTAAATAAATTGATAAAGGATGAATGAACAGGCATTAAACTAGTAACTCCTGCCTTTAAAATGTAGATCACACGTGAGCATTTAGCATGTAAATACAAAAGTTTATTTCATGTATCAATTATCGGATCGATTGCTTAAGTCTAGAAGGAACAGATTTCATTTCGCTTGTTTCCTTTTTTTTGTGTGGATCAGGCTGGAAACATTTCCACAGTCTTAAAGTTTCATCAGCTCCTGCGCTAAGTACTGTAGTACCGTCCGGTGACATTGCTAAATGCAGGACACGACTAGAATGACCTGTAAGTTCCGCGACCTTTGTCATTGCTGGGTACTTCCATATAGTTAATTGATTTTGCGCATATCCGTGACCAGATACAATCTCTTTGTACGTTGTGGACCAAAGTAACGAACATACTTGTGATTTGGTATCCACTGTATTTAAGCAGGCACCTGTGTAGATGTTTATATAGAAAAATATTTAAATTAATCTTTCTTTTATAAACGCGTATAATCGTTCCACTGTTTACCTGTATTGCAGTTCCAAAATCGAATTCTTCTATCAGCAGTACCGCCACCACTCGCAAGGATATTATTTTGCCAAGGGCACCATGCAAGTGCTTTTACAGCAGCTTGATGTTGATTTAACGAATAAAGTGGTTGGATATGTGTATGATTTTGCCCGGAAATTGACGGCCATATTTGAAGCATATTATCGTTACCGCCACTTGCTAAATACTTTCCATCGGGTGACCACTTCAAACCACATACTTCTTGAGCATGTGCGTTTATTGTCGATATCAAGTGTTCTCTTTGCCTAACATCATGGTGCACTATTTGACCAGCTCTATAAGTAAAAGCAAACCATTACATTGAAAATTTTTATTAACGTACTCGGTGTATTATCTGTACATTTATTATAAGAATTTTTACCTGCATCCAGTCGTTAAAATATGCGAATTCCAAGAAAGAGATCCAACTCTGGCTGCATGACCATTCATTACACGTACTCTTTTTGCTTGACTACAATCCCATAATTGTGTATTTCCTGTTGTGGTGCCTACAGCTAAATAAGGTCCTTCCTGAATCCATGCAACAGAGCAAACATAGTCATTGCCCTCTAATTCAAACAATTGCTCTATGGTTCCAGTTGCAGCATTCCATAAATATACATTAGCACCTAGTGCTACAGCTAAAATATTACTCTCTGACCAATCAATCAAGTTCAGATCTGAAATACACATGTAGTAATTAGTAATGATCAATAACAGATAGATACAGATACATAAAAATTCTTACAGTAGTCATCAATGATTTCTGGTGCATCCAATATTCTATCAGGAGTTTGTGGTATGTATCTTGTACTAGCTTTCAAGCTTGCTGGTGTTTTACTTTGACTGTACACAACTCTTAAAGGATTCAGATAACCTTCTGGAGGGGCTGGTGCTTTATTTTGATAAGACAAAACTCTCATGTTATTAATATCACCACCATGTAAATTTTCTCCTATAAGACGCTGCATTTCCTTCTTAGAAGGACTTGTATTATCCATTTTTTCCTCATCTTTTTCTGCATTTGCTTGTTGCTGAATCTAAATGTTAAAATAACTCTGCATTTAATATTTTGATATGTCCTAGTATTATACACGTTGCTAAAAGAGACTTACCTTGTAATAACCAAGATCAAAATTAGTTGTTGATCTTGAAGGAATAAACCTATCACCACCACTAGGTGTTTTAGCAGGTGTAGATGAGGCACGACCTAATTAAATTATCTTTATTAAGAAATGATTTATCCTAATTTATAAATATCGCAAATTATAAAAGTAGCATCATACTTGGGGATTTTCTGGAACCTTTGGAAGGTGTTTTCCTAGTTCGAGTATCATTTTTCTTGGTTGGTGTTTTTCCTGTAGTAGTGTTCGCGAACGACCCATTTGTAACTTTTCGTGACGAATTAATGCTAAGATTAGCACTGTACGGACAAACATGCGTAAAGTTTAAAAATATGTAGTAATTAAAATAAAACAGTAAAACAATAAAATAATACCTAGAATTCGAGGTTTCCAAACATTTCTTCTGCCAGCGGGGTAGCGGCCCTTTAATAGCTTCGTCCATTCGAGTTAAATTATTTATTTCTTTCATGTATTTTAGATGAGACATTATCGAGTTTTGTGATTTATTAATAATAACGTACTAAGAAGAAAAATAGAAAAGAACTGTTACATACAAAAAAGGAATGAAACGAGAAAACTTTGTGGTGTTATTCTATTTGAAGCAATTGATTTACATTGATTTACTTTTATTAGAATTGCGTTACACGATAAATTTAATCGCGAAAAATAAGTTAGAGCGTCGAAGTACACGATTATGCAAAAATATTATAGTTCTTTACTTAGAAACATTGAATTCTTTGTGCACAAAACTCGTTGCGTGAAACGAACCAAACACTCGTGGCATTTAAAAGTCCGTTAAAATTTAAAGGGCTTCGTACGCTAATTTCCCTGTAGAGGTCGTGATAAAGATAAAGGGATATTTTCAAATTCAATATTTCTGTAAATAAGTTCATCCAGTGAGAGGACGAACTGGGACGAACTACTGTTTTATTACATTTAATAATAAGCTTGTAATTATACTACAAGTATCGTAAATTCTGCGATGCTTTTAGTATAGTTACACTGTCATTATTTATTGTTTTCAAGATATTTTCATGAATATTAAATATTACTAAAAACTACGTAGCGGTGGCGCCATTTCGCAGTAAACTGCCCAAGTTTGTCGAGAAATAGTTTTTTCTTCTCACCGTTAGATGGCATTACTACTTATAGAGAAAAAAACTACAAGTTAAAAAGTCTTATCCTAGTTTAATTTTAGTATCATTTAAAGCTCTGTTATGCTAGTAGTGTCGTTCAATTGTTATTAGTTAATTTAATAAAGCAATTTATTTAAATATACTGTAATGTCGGTATTTAGACCTTGGTAGCGCCATCTAGCGGTGAAAAACTGGAACTATTTCTCGACAAACTTGTACGTTTTGCCACCGATGGCGCCACTAGTTATATTAAATTAAATGTTTAAAAATTATTTCTTGGCGTAATTACACATGCGCTAACCTTTTTATTATTTTCTACACTCATTATTTAATTGTATTTGAAATAATAAATACATGAAGTGCCTAAATTGTTTCTAGAAAGTTTGGAATCGGTGGAAGAACGCCCAAGCTGGTAGTCAAAATGGTTCTCACTGTCTTTTGCTAGGTATTAATATTTATGAAAGGTTTGTCTTATAAAGTCTTATTATTTATAAAAGAACATAAAAACTTTATTATGGTCCATAATATCAGGTATAGCAGTTACACTTATGAAATGTTATTAGAATATTTGCGGCACTACAAAACTACATAGTCATGTAAATAACAATACATTTTTTACACATTGTTTTTTTTTTTGTCTGATCATAATTCGTCTATTCGTTTTACCGTATAGTGCGTAGCGCACAATTTTCGTTGCATTGCCAGTTTACAATGCAACGAACAAACATTGCAATTTTCTCGACCATCAGCCAGAAAGTATAGTACAGGCTTCGATGGACGTTGGACGGACTATACATTTGCGACACAAAATGTTAACATACGATATGCTTAACTAAGCAAATTTATCTTAAAACAATTTATTAAAATACTATATACAAGTAATACGGTAAATCTACTAGGAGACTAACAGCAGTATATAGTACATCAATCTTTCATCTGCACAGTCTCGAGTAAGAAACAATCGTAAATTACACTGGTTCAAAGCTAGTTGAACTTTAACGGATCTCGAGTACGCGCGAAATAATCGAAGCTTAGAGCCGTAAACGTGAAACAAGTTCGTTGTACGTTTCATTCTCCATCGCAAGGTAAACAAAGGGGCGAACTAAAACTTATCTCCGTCTTATCTTCCTTCGTTCTATGTTCTTTTAAACTAAATAAAAATAGAAAGAAGGAAGGAAAACTGGTTCACCCTAATACAATCCGTCGCGATAGAGAGAACACGATGAGATTATGCAATTAATCATCAGGCATGACAAGATTAACAAAACAAAACAAAACAAAAAATACTGAATTCAGTCTAAGAGATTAAATCAATTTCTCGGGCGTTGATCGATAAGATTAATCAACGATCTGTCCCGTCTTTCGCGGTACGACAATTGCACGAATTAAGCGAAATCGATGATCGGAAACGAAAATTCCTCGGTAAGCGCGGGCAAATAATCTGATACGAACGAAGAATAAACGAAACGGATGAATCACTGCGGACAACAACGTAGTAGGAATCATCAAGAGCAACCGTCGTCGAGGGATTTCTCTTAGATAAAACTCGAGCGAAGGGCACAGTCTATATCACAGAAACGGACATGTCCGTTTCCACGGCAGTCTTTTTATCGTCGCTATTATCGTTAGCCTGTTCATCAGAGACTAGAGACACGTCCTTAGGAAGGACCAAGGATTCCTCGCCGATAGGCGCAGCAGCCTCGACTAGATTCTCGACGGAGGCCGCGACCGCCGGCTCGTCGTGGCAAAAGCTTCTACGCAGGGACTGTTGGGTTCGTGTGGTCCCTCTTCTAATGCTACTACGTAGTAAATTCGCTACATCGACCGCGGTTAGGTTCAAGCTGCTCGACGAGACGGTGGTGCACGTTCTTGGTCTAGTTCTTTCGAGCGTGGAGTGGGTGCGCTCGATGGGGTGTGCGACAACGCCAATCCTCGTTGATCTGTCGATCGTGTTAGGCCTGTGTCTTTCCATGGCGTTGTTTCGTCTGTTCGAAACTGGAATTTCTGTCCTTGCCTCGGTCATGGTAATCGTTACATCCTGTGTCTGTCTGCCCTGATTCATCTCCACGAGGACGGTCGCGTAATCGGGAGGCGGTGGCTGCAACGCTGGTCGTTGCCTTGGGGCGCTGCTCTCGCCAAGGACGTTTGCTATCCTTCTCACGCTTCTACGGAAACTTTGTCTCAACATCTTCGCTAGCCTCGCCCCTGTTGCCGTGGTATAACTCGGTGGTGGCGTGTACTTCGGTGGAGGATCCTCGAAAGGCACTTCCGTGCTCGTTGGGACGATACCATTCCCATGGATGCTGGTGCTGGTCTCGGTTCCGATGTGAGTTTGGGTGGTGGTTGGATTGTCAGGCTCCAGGGAGGGTCGGTACAGCAACTGAATTCGCTGTGAAGCAAAGTTGTGGTTGGGTTTACTATTTACTATTCATGCGTGTGTTGAGAAACGTGCACTGTTAGTGTGTTCTATGGACGCAACAAGACAAGTTCAGGCATGCCGTGGGTACAAATGAAAACTTACGCCGTTACACTGCTCGCAGTGATTTACGTTAACCGCCACTTGATTGGTCTGTGGTTAGCACAAACAGAATGAAGGAGTGGTTCATGTCAAATACGTGTTAGTATATCAGAAAGTTACTTGATTATTTGAGATTCGATAGCGCAGGTTATTACATTGCATCGATTGATATCGATAAGTAGCAGGAAAGATCGGGTTTTATCTTTGCTTGCCCTTCGATATCCAATGACTCGATGATAAGAACATGCACATTTTTTTATCTTTGGAGCGATAGCGTAAAGCAATGATTCATTTCTATTCATTTTTAAGCTTCAATTTCCTGAACGATACCGGATATATGTAAACTACATACGTTGCTCTAAAGGCCAAGAAACGTATACATTGTTCTACCATTTGGGATTGATAATAATCTACATAGTATACCAGCCTAATACCATCCAATTCTTGCTACAAATTTATAACAACTCACTCTGATCCTTACATCAAATATATCGGGTGGACCGTTGTTCAAATATCGACAGGTTTGTATGATAGCCACCGCGGGTATAATTAATATCGGTATTAGTTGAATAGCAGCTCCTAGTTGTCTCGCCCATACCGGCCAGTAATCTCTGGTAGTGCGTCGATAAGAGTACAGTTCTCGAAACCCAGCATTCTTGAATACCGTGATGCTGAGTACCTGTCGATTTGAAAATCGTATCGGTCGATTATAATTGTTCCTATCATCCTGTATGGGTGCTTTGCCACGAGAACTCACCATAAGAATAACAGGTAGCACGACGTTCCATGTAAACGATAAGAGTGGACCAGCCCAGTGTCTGAGACATCGACCGGTCGGTGGAAATAATTCAGCAACGACCGCTTCTCCGCTATGTGGACGACCTCGCACCGCGAACACAGCACCGACTTGCACTAAGTAGAGGATCATTATCCACCACGAACCACCGATTGTATAGTCTATATAGTACACGATATGTATGCCCAACTGTAAGTAAAAAGAAACGCAACGTTTTCAAATTTCGTTCTAGCTTAATTGGTAATTTCGTTCTAGCTTAATTGGTACATAAGTGTGTTTACTTTATAATTTGTTTCAACGACTTGCATCGACTAATTCTCTTTCACTCATGGTGCGAGAGACACCGTAGAGGTGCTCGTTGTTACATCCCTCACTTGAATCTCCAGAAACATTGCGTCATCCTTGACATACCCAGTGTACCGGGTTAGAGTCGTATGCGGGATGAACATATAAATTCCAGAGTCTTTCTCGACGTTCTCTCGGTTAGATTTATCGCAACCAACAGCCTTGACGAGTTTCTTAACGTCGTTCGCAGGGTTCTCTTGATTCCTCAAAGTGATGCTGGCTTTGAGGACGCAGGGCCAGTCCAACAATGGATCCCATTTCCCGTTTTCCACGCGAAGGCAACCGATGATGTGACGGTCTTTCCACTGTCCTATACCGTTCAGGTACAACTCCACCCTCAGCGTGTAACCGTACTCTTTGTTCGAAAATTTTGGACTATAAAGAACGCAATCGGTTTCCTTTGCTTCGGTCATCTTTTCTTTGTAACGGTCAATCCTCCACAAGAGTCTACCATTCGTTCGAAATTGTTCAGCAAATTCGTGTTCGCATCGACATTCGGCAATCTCGACGATATTAGAGTTGGAATTATCTTTGATCAGTTCTTCGAGATACTTCAAGTTCTCCTTCGTCTGGAACTTCAGTCCTTTGAGGGTGCACTTGTGTTCAGCCACCAGCTTCGACTGCTGTCGTACTTCTTCCTCTAGAGTCTGGACTTTCTCGATTAGGACCTTCTGTTGCTCTTGCAACTCGTTCGAATTTTTGCACCTCATCTCCAGTTCCAGCTTAAGGTCGCAGATCAGCTGCTGCTGCTCTTGCGCCATCGCCGTCAGATGTTCGGTCTCCTGCGCCAGAAAACTCTTCAGATTATTCAGTTCCGTAGACCAAAGGTCGATTACCTTGTCCTGTCTATTCTGTGTGTTGGCTATCTCATTGTGCAAAAACTTCAGTTGTTTCACAATCTGCTGAAAACTCAGAGCAGTGCGTTTCTTCATATCGTCGCGAGACAATTCCAGGTCGTTCAATCGTTTGTTCATGGTTGCTTCCAGTCGACGTTCCTTCGTCATT